TACTGTCTATGATGCTTAATATTGGTTCTGATACGTGGTTGTGCAGTGTTACTCTTGTTTATGTAGTTTTGTATGCCTGGTTAGTGTTGAATGTCTGTCGGTGTTAATAGTGTGAATTTTGAATTGTTGAACTGCATAGATCTATTGTAGAATGACGTATGATTGTAGTGAATGTTCGTTAAAGTGAATTTATTTTGGAARTGTACGTTGTCTGAATTCGTATGAAGTGTTTGGCGTGTCTCATGAGTTTTTATTATATCTAGCAGTGTTTATTGAATATGGDCGTTGGATATTAAGTGTTTGGATGAATTGTGTTGGGCTCCAATCGTTTGAAATTTGTTGACTATGCTCCGTTATGACTAAACTCACTGCGGCGCTGGATATTAAGGGCTAGTTACGGAGTATATTTTATATACTCACCCCCCCTCTACAATGATTGTTTCAGGTGAAGGACTCGTGGGTGACCATGGTGATGGGACGGAGGAGACCTGACGAGCAAGGACCATAGGCTGCTTAGTTTTCCTGTTTAGTTTAATTCATTGGTTAGGGCCTTATGTTGTGGCCAATAAACGGCTTATTTGCATTTGAATAATTGAGAGATTTTTCCTTGTTGTTAGTCTTGCTTCGGGTTAGGTGCCTATTTGAGTTTTATTCCTTTTGTTTAGATTCATATAGATTGAATAATAAACTTGCCTCGTGAGGTGTTTCACGAATGTTGTTGAATGTTATTCCATGAGATTGGTTTATCGTTAATTTGATGAGGAGTGGAACTTGATTTTTTTATAAGTTTATGTGCATAGAAAGTTGGCAGGATGTAGCCGGGGTTAAATTTGATTAGTTGGGTAGTTAATGTGACCCAGAGGTGTGCGGAAAATTCTAGGTCGTTACAATTGGTATCAGAGCGGAGTTGTTCCTGTAGACTGTCTTAGAATCTAGGTCGTTAGTGTACGGTCCTCGTCAGTCTCCTCGTCATCACCAGGTACGTTTCCGAGTTCTGGATGTTTGATCATGAATGTCTTACATTGCTTATGATTGAGATATTATTATTGACTGATACTAGATAGGAGTTCCCTAGGTGAATCCCCAGGTGGCGTTACTAGCTGAGGCATTGCAAGTATTGCTGGATAATGCGAATGGAGCCGGTGGGGCTCAGGCGCAGCAGCCTCGCCGGGCACAGATTCAACAGGAGGAGGTCCAGTTCATCAAGGATTTCAAACGCTTCGGACCACCCGTTTTCAACGGGGTGAGTGAGAGGCCTACTGCGGCTGAGGAGTGGGTCAGGGAGTTGGAAGCCCTTTATGTGTATTTGGGATGCTCCGACGAATTCAAGGTCCGAGGAGTAGTGTTTATGCTTCGGGGAGAAGCAGTAAACTGGTGGGAGTCGGTGGCGGCAGCGGAGGATCACGCCAACGCACCCGTCACATGGGCGAGGTTTAAGGACCTACTCTATGAGTACTATTTCCCCGTGACTGTCAGGAACGAAAAAAGGGCAGAGTTTCTCCGTCTTAACTGTGGCCCAATACGAGAGGAAGTTCACTGAGCTGTCCCGTTTTGGAATGCAATATATTCCTACTGAACAATTAAAGATTGACAAGTTCATTGACGGTTTGCGTAGGGAGATCAAGGGGCTACTTGTTCTCAAGGAACCAACTACTTATGCAGCAGCATTCAGGTGTGCGTTGGTTATGGACAAATGTCTCGAGGAACCTCAGTCTTAACAAGTGATGGGCTCCAGCTCGGGGGTCAAGAGGAAATTTGCATCGTTCTCCTCCAATCAACCCTTGAGGGGACACCAGCAGCTTGTGCAAAGGCAGACTGTTTCTCCGGTGTGCCCCTCTTGTAAGAGGAGCCATGCTGGGCCGTGTTGGGCGGGAAAGAGAATATGTTACAGGTGTTAGAAGGAAAGTCATTTTGCAAGGGAGT